CAGTTTTTCAATATTAAAACAAAACCAAAATGAGGGGAAAACTCCTTTTGTGCTTAATTTAAGGCTATTGTGCTTTCATAGAAGAGGAGTGAATTCTATGTTAAAGTAATGCACTAAATTAGTCTTACATTGTTTCTTTTTTCAAAATTTTTTATTTAAAAAAACATTTTTTAAGCCAAAATCGGTTTGGCTCAGTGGATAGAGCATCAGTCTGCGGACTGAAGGGTCCCAGGTTCAATTCCGGTCAAGGGCATGTACCTTGGTTGCGGGCACATCCCCAGTAGGGGGTGTGCAAGAGGCAGTTGATCGATGATTCTCTCACATCAATGTTTCTAACACTCTATCCCTCTCTCTTCCTCTCTGTAAAAAAAATCAATAATATATTAAAAACAATTTTTAAAATTGATTTCAGAGAGGAAGGGAGAGGGAGATATAGAAACATCAATAATGAGAGAGAATCATTGACCAGCTGCCTCCTGCACACCCCACACAAGGGATTGAGCCTGCAACCCAGACATGTGCCCTGACCAGTTACTGAAACATGACCTCCTGGTTCATAGGTCAATGCTCAACCACTGAGCCACTATGGCCAGACAATGTTTTTAATATTTTGACAATAGAATTATCTAAGTTAGGTTACTGGATTCCAAAGAAAGATAAAGGTAAAAGAGAGTTTTGGAATTATGTTCTGGATAATTTCAATTAAGAGATTTTCAAATAAAAATTGATATCTGGCCCTAGTTGGTTTGGCCCAGTAGATAGAGCATCGGCCTGCAGACGGAAGGGGCCCGGTTTTGATTTTGGTGAAGGGCCTGAATTGTGGGCTCAATCCCCAGTTGAGGTCGTGCAGGAGGCAGCCAATCAATGCTTCTCTCTCACTGATGTTTTTTTTTTTTTTTTTAATATATTTTATTGATTTTGTACAGAGAGGAAGGGAGAGAGATAGAGAGTTAGAAACATTGATGAGAGAGAGTCATCAATCAGCTGCCTCTTGCACACCCCCTACTGGGGATATGCCCGCAACCAAGGTACATGCCCTTGACCGGAATCGAACCCGGGACCCTTCAGTCCCCAAGCCGATGCTCTATCCATTGAGCCAAACCGGTCTCGGCTCTCACTGATGTTTCTATCTCTCTCACCCTCTCCCTTCCTCTCTGAAATCAATAAAAATTTTAAAAGTAAAATTATTTTTAAAAAGTTTTTAAAAATTGATATCTGAACTGGGTTATATGTTTTTTTTAGCTGGAGTCTTGGAATCAATGAAAACAACTACCTAACAGGGTTTCTAGCAATCTAATGACAATTAGTAAAATTTTCTCCAGCTCAGTTTTGCTCCATGTCCTATCATTCCTTCCCTCACTGAGACCAGTTATGGTTTACACCCTTTTCATGTGTCCCTTTCTCCTCCCTCCACTTCTCAGACAAAGTTTAGTGGACTGCAATAACACGTGGGTTGGTAAATAGTGATTTAAGATTCAAACAGAGAAAAATGTTTCAATATCAATATTAACAAACAATATTAATGCAAGTTAGTTTGGTTGATGTTAATGTGAAGACAAACTTAAATTCCAAAACATTTTATTAAAATATAGGAAGTGATGCAAAATGCCTTATTTGATATCGGGTCTAGTAATAATTAATGTCGTTTTTAAACATTCGTTTAAAATCTTGCTTGGCGTTGACTTGTATTGACATAACCTTCAAACACGTGGTATCTACAGAACGTGTGAAGTGCAATTAACAAGTTTTGCTTGAAAAAGTTTGTGTTTGGTTTGGTTTTTGTTGCAAAACTAGGGCTAAGAAGATGGCGGATGAAGAGCATATTCGGCACTGCATGCTTTACGAGTTCCAATTAGGAAGAAAAGCAAATGAGGCTGCAAAAAACATCTGTAGTGCTCTTGGTCAAGATGCAGTTAGCGCCAGAAAATGCCAGCGTTGGTTTGAGAAATTTCGCGAGGGAAATTTTTCGTTAGATGACAAGAGTGGTCGAGGCCGTGTGTCCAATTTTGATCAAGAAGCTCTTCAAGCTCTTTTGGTGCAAAAGCCTCAAATTACCCAACAAGAGCTTGCGACAACTTTAAATTGTTCACAAAAAACGATTTCCAATCAATTGCGTGCACTTGGCAAAATCCAAAAGTTTGGAAAATGGGTTCCTCATGAGTTGACCGACAACAACCGTAATCAAAGAGTCACAATTTGCAGTTCGCTCCTCTCTCGTCAAAACCGTTTGCCGTTTTTAGAGCAAATTGTTACCAGAGATGAAGAATGGGTGCTGTATGTTAATTTGAAAAGGCGGCCTCAATGGTTGGACAAAAATGAGGCTCCGCAGCCCACGCCAAAACCTGACTTGCATGCGAAAAAAGTGATGTGTGTTTGGTGGAATTTTAAAGGAATTCTTCATTATGAACTTTTACCATCTAACCAAACCATTACAAGTGCAGTGTATAGTGCCCAATTGGAAAGGTTAGCCCAAGCTTTAAGAGAAAAAGAACCCGCGCTGATTAATCGGAAGGGCGTAATTCTTCACCACACTAACGCATGACCGCATACTGCAAGAATCACTGCTGAAAAACTGCGCCAGTTGGAATGGGAAGTTCTCCCTCAACCTGCATATTCTCCTGATATTGCCCTTTCCGATTACCATTTGTTTTGTTCTTTGCAAAACTTTATTCTTGGAAAAAAATTTAATAATGAAGAATGCCTCAAAAATGCATTGACCGAATTTTTTGCATCAAAATCACAAGAATTTTACAACAGAGGGATTAAAATGCTTCCTGAGCGGTGGGCACAAGTAGTAGAAAACAACGGCAACTATATTGTTGATTAAATTTTGTTGTATTGTTTAAATAAATTCGATTTTAAAAAGGTATTAGAAAACATTAATTATTACTAGACCTAATATTTTCATGAAGAAAATGCAATCATTTCCGATTAGTAAAAATAAATGAATTTCAAATGAAATGCCAATTATAGTCACTATTTTGTTTATGATTGGATTTCAAAGTTAAGAGTTGAATCAAAGAGTAATATGGTGCACTTAAAAATAAATGCTAAGCCGTAGATCACAGGAAAGCTGTAGTCTAGTAAACTGGGGAGAAACCAAAATTGGGGGGAGAAGCAAATAGCTAAGGCTTAAGGTGGCAGAAGCCTGAAGGTCAGACTATCCTAAGGTGAGCAGCATTTCAGAAAGATAGGAACTGCTAGCCGAGACTGGTTTGGCTCAATGGATAGAGCGTCGGCTTGGGGACTGAAGGGTCCCGGGTTCGATTCCGGTCAAGGGCATGTACCTTGGTTGCAGGCATGTCCCCAATAGGGGGTGTGCAAGAGGCAGCTGATCGATGACTCTCTCTCATCGATGTTTCTAACTCTCTTTCTTTCTCCCTTCCTCTCTGTACAAAATCAATAAAATATATTTTAAAAAAAAGAAAAAAAGATAGGAACTGCTCATTGGTCTGTTCCCCTGTCAAAGAGAACAGACTTGAAAGTCTTAATACTAGGTTTCATCAAATGTCAATTTGAAAACCAGGCACAGACAACTGCCCACCTGAGTATAAGGGAATATATAAGACCTGGGTAGACTAAAAGCAGCTCTAGAGACAGACTCTAGCGCTTATGAGAACTAAGACCAGGATTGGTAGGGGTTCTTTATCTGAAATTCAAATTTGTTTTTATTTGTAATAGTCAAGGAGCCACCTACAGCTGAGGGCAAGAAAGTAGAATCAATACAGAGTAGTAAGGGAGGCATACTTACCTCCCTTAACTTTTCACCAAAGCCCTAAAGGAGTGGCTTGTAATCTTTTTGGTGGTTTTAAGAACTTAACGTCATAGATCATATCCTAGAAAATATGCATACATGTGCAATTTTGTATACAATATAAAAAGGTTTACAGAATTTCTAAATCTATCTACTCTACCTTCTAGAACTTCATTGACTAATATGGTAGCCACAAGGTAGCACTTAGCAACACTAGCTGCAATTTAAATACTCAAAAGATAATATCTCATCAAGTTCTATTGGACAGTGCTGCTCTAGAATTTCATGAACCTGAGGTTAAGAACTTCTGTCCTAAATGAACCCCTATACCCCACTCCCAAATACCAGCTATTTTCTGTCTGAATACAGATGGGCCTCAAAGAGCTGGCCGATGGATATTAAAAGTAATTCTGAGTAACTCTGAAAGCCCATCTAGCTTTAAGTACCCATTAATAACCTGAAGTCAAAGGAACTTACACAGCAAATGATTCATCTTTAATTCCTATGTGTAGTTTTGCAAACATTCCCATACACATTCTACAATAATCATCCAAGTGACATATATATATATATATATATATATATATATATATATATATGCCTTTATTGATTTCAGAGAGGAAGGAAGAGGGATAGATAGAAACATCAATGATGAGAATCATTGATCGGCTGCCTCCTGCCCATCAAGCCCGCAACCCTGGCATGTGCCCTTGACCAGAATCAAACCCAGCACCTTCAATATGCAGGCATACGCTCTATCCACTGAGCCAAACCGGCTAGGGCACAGCTAATTTTTTTTAACTTTTATTGTAACTAAGTGCTAGGTGCCATTCTAAGCATCCTATATGTTAGCTTACTTAATCTTCATCCAATGTTATACAGTGGGTATAGAATTATCCAAAACTGACAAGGGGACTGAGGTTTGGGACTTAACAAGGTTTAATAATTTGTTTGAGATACCAGAGTAAATGCCAGAGAACTGTTCATAAGGTTAGAATCGATAGTCACTCTGAAACTTGAGAATGGTCTTAAAGGTCTCTGAGGTCACATGGTTTTTTTAAATGGACCTATACCTGCAAGCGCACTGAGGCCTCTGGATCTGCATTTGCAACAACAGTTTGTGGACCTGACTTTTTCCCCGGAGTGGAATAAGAAAATAAAATATACTCCATAACTTTTCTCTGCATCCTCATATCCTTTACCATCATGTCGCTGTAACTTCACCAACAGATTAGCTGTGTGATCCTGGGCAAGTGACTTACTGACACTTGGTGCCGTTATTTGGAACATGCACATAATAGTGTATACTTCCTCCAGTTTTGTGTGTTGTGAGTCTCCCGCTGCATGTAAGCAGGCACTAATAAACGGCACTGGTTGTCACGATTCGATCTCCTGAGCCCACGGGTCAGACGGTTGCTGGAGGGAATGGAGAAGCGGGACGACCCTGGAACATAGCTGGGCCACCCTCCCCTCACTGGCGCAAAGCACCCAACTGCTCGGCCAGAAAAACAACCCTACGGGTTAGCTTCCATTCACCTCTCACCACGAAAGTTCACGGCAGAGCTAGGGGGAGACAGGATCCCGCCTCTGCAGGGCTGGAGAGTGAAGGACACGTTCAGACAAGTTTAAAATCCGTTTTAAAACAGGAAGCCGGTGGTGCAGGGCCGGTCCCTAGCGGCCTTCCAGGCCATCCAGCCCCCCAAAACTGGACGCCGGACGGTCGGGTGACCACCGCAGGTTACCATCCCCGATCCCCCAGGACCGCGGGGTCGGTGCGGTCACCTGCAGCACCGCTGACCGCACCTCCCGGAAGGCCCCGCGGGGACGCCGACCTAGGCGGGGCAAGCTCGCTTCCGGGCTTCCCCGAGGTGCCGCCGAGCTGGCTCGGTGACACCGCTCGGGAGCCTCCGGGTCGATGGCTCCCCCTCCTGCAACCCTAAACTATTGGAGCGGGTGGGGACCGTCTTTAATCCGCTGTGACTAGGAAATGCCTCTCACACTTGGCTAATGGGTGAAGAATTTCTGGGGAGGGAGGATGTTAACAATTCAGATTTCCGAGCCACCCTGACACTCTGACGCACTGAATCTCGCGTGGCTCGAAGGTTTGTATCTTAGTAAGCTTCCCGCGGTATTCTGACCCAGAATACCGCCAGTCATGCCCGTTTTAGGACCATTTTTTTTACAAATCTGTTTGGCGAACACATCCTGTCCCTTGGCCAACCCCAGGAACCTCTCAGGGTTTCAGGGCTTGTCGGGTGGCTCCGCCTCTCGTCTAGAATTGGCCCCTCGCGCGCCCCATCCCGGCAGATGAATCTCCCTTCCTGGTTGGTCGGCGTTGACTCCGCGGCAAGATCTGGACCAATGGGCGCTGCAGTTCGCAGAACGTGACCTGGGGGTTGGTCCCCAGCTGGCGCCGTTGGCTGTGGACGCCTAACTCTCGCGCTGAGACTTCCGGCGGGGGAGCGGAGCGCCGAGTTCTGCGTGAGTTCGCGACGCGGCGAAAAGCGCTGCGCCCTGGTCCTTCCCTAGGGAGGGCTGGGCCGACGGCTGGCGCGGCGGCTCCTGGGTCCCACTGAGGGGCGAGGACGCCGGAAGTGGCTGCTCTACGGCCGGGACCTGAAGCCGGCCATCCCCGTGAGAAACTGGGAGCCCCTTTCCAGGCGGGCACAGCTGGTTTCCCGGGTAGGGCGCTCCGAGGGCCTGACGATGGCGTCGGGCCCGGGCTCCCAGGATCGGGAAGGGCTCCTCATAGTGAAACTGGAGGAGGACTGCGCTTGGAGCCAGGAGCTGCTCCCGCCAGACCCGGGGCCCAGCCCGGAGGCCTCCCACCTGCTCTTCAGACGGTTCCGCTTCCAAGAGGCCGCTGGGCCCCGGGAAGCCCTCAGCCGGCTCCAGGAACTTTGCCATGGGTGGCTGCGGCCTGAGATGCGCACCAAGGAGCAGATCCTGGAGCTGCTGGTGCTGGAGCAGTTTCTAATCATCCTGCCTCAGGAGATCCAGAGCAGGGTGCAGGAGCTGCATCCGGAGAGCGGCGAGGAAGCAGTGACCCTTGTAGAAGATATGCAGAGAGAGCTTGGGAAGCTGAGGCAACAGGTGAGAAAAAGAGCTGTTGTATCTGCGGTTTGTTGGACCCTATGACTGGGGCAGCGTGCCGGCCCACTTCCCTGTTTACTTGGTTTCCCTTAATAGTCCTCAAATGGGCCAGAGGCCTTTTTGTAGTTCAGTCAGGAACAGTTAGTTATCTTCCAGGTTTTACCCGGTGGACAGAGAGAGTAGTGAAGAGGGTCCTATTTCCATATGGAGGCAGTGTCTCTGCATTATTGGGAGCCCCAAACTTAATTTGCAGGGTTTAAATCAAAACTCGTTTCATACTAGCATTGTGACTTCAGGCAAGTTAAACTTAAAAAAAAATATATATATATATATATATATATATATATATATTTATATATATATATATAATAATTATTATTATTATTATTATTATTGATTTCAGAGAGAAAGGGAAAGGAAGAGAGAGCCAGAAACATCAATGATGAGAAAGAATCATTGATTGGCTGCTTCCTGCATACCCCACATTGGGGATGGAGCCCAGAACCCCGGCTTGTGCGCTTGACTGGACTCGAACCTGGGACCCTTGAGTCCGCAGGCCAATGTTCTGTCCACTGAGCCAAACCGGCTAGGGCAAATTAACCTTTTTATTAGTCTCAGAAATGCCACTGGTAAAGTGTGAATAGTGGAATACCTTTCTAGTGTTGCTTTTAGGGTTAGAGGGAGAGAAGTATGTAGTGTGTCCCCTCCCCTCCAAATTCTTGCAACACGCCGTTTGAAAATCGCTGCTTTAAACAGTCCCACTACTTTTTGAATCTCACATCAGTATTTTTTATTTTGCCTGGTGAAAGCACTCAAGCAAGTTGTTACAATCAGACATACGTTTTTTTGTGTTTTTTTTAATTGATTTTGGAGAGAGAGAAAGGGAGTGCGGGGAAAGGGAGAGAACGTCAATTTGCTCTTCCACTTATTTATGCCTTCGTTGGTTGATTCTTGTATGTGCCCTGACTGGGGATGGAACCAGAAACCCTGGCATATTGGGATGACACTCCAACCCAGAGGTCTCGCCAACCTTTCTGACCTCAACGGACCACTGGTGCTCCAACCAACTGAGGCATCTGGCCAGGGCCATGCAGTTTAGATCAGACTACTGGTTTATAGTTAGTGCGTAGTAGCTATTAGCTCTTGTTATATTAGGGTCAGCAGTCTGGTCTCCTGTACAGAGCTGGGTGGGAGTGAATTGTGCACTTTGTCACTGAGACTCTGAGCGCACTTATACCCCCAGAGACACCCAAGTATAACTTATCCAGTAGTGAGTGAGGAATGGAAGCATCTAGAAAAGGTAGGGGAACGCAAGAGGGAGTGAGGTGTGTCCAGAGGAGCTACATGGGCAGGTGTGCTCAAGGAGTAGACTCTTCTCCCCCCACCAACACTCCATCCCCACTTTCTCTCATGCACTTGGGATCAGAAAAACCTGTAGTGGAAACCATCCTTTTCTCTAGCTGGGTCCAACGGTATGTACCAGTGGTTCACTGTTGAAGGCTTGCCAGAGTTCTGTACTAATTTCCCTTCCTGTGGGACCCTGTTGTGATGATGAGTAATGTGGGTTGGTTCCCAGGTCACAAACCATGGGCGGGGAACAGAAGTGCTTTTGGAGGAGCCTTTGTCTCTGGAAACAGCACGAAAGTCACCGAGCTTCAAGCTGGAGCCAATGGAGACTGAGCGAAGCCCTGGTCCCAGGCTGCAGGAGCTGCTAGGCCCCAGCCCTAAAAGGGACCCCCAGGCTGTAAAGGAGAGGGGTGAGGAACAGTTACCTGGGTAGGTGGGAGGGAGGAGGGTCTGGATTTGCCTTTGACAGCAGGATGAAGCACCTGTGCCAGGGAGAGGGAATTTCTGGTTCAGGGTTCCCAGAATGGAGTGAAAGACGTAGAAGTGGTGGTTGGGTTCTTCTGGAAGTGGGAGGAGGGAGGGAGATTTCTTTGCTCTTTTGCTTGCAGAACAGAGACATTTAGAGCTAATGAATGATTGAGGGCTTGAATGCTGTAGACAGACTAGTGATATTTCTTAATCCTACCCCTGCATTTAGGATGTCATTTTGGATGTAGCTTAATTGTGCTTCTCTTGCTTTCTTTTGTTCAGTGTTCAGTCCTCAGAGCAGAGACTGGGTGGTGGGGAATGGATACTGTGTAATAATCCTTGGGTTACCAAGAATTAGGAATGCCATTCTCATCATGATTTCTGTCACCTTCAGCATTATCTGCTCCCTGGCTTTCTCTCTTTCCTCCCGAAGGAAACATGGAAGACAAGATGACTGGGCCCCAGGTGATGTGGAAGTTCCCAATATCTTCCCTCAGCACACACACGTCCCCATACACACTGTGTTGCTCTTGTGGTGGTGGGGTCCTTTGGTCACTTGGAGAGGATTCTTTCTTCCTCACCAATGTGTGTCCCCTATTTTCTTTAGATGCCTCCACCTCACCTCACTCCTAGGCCTCACCTCACTCCCCATGAAATGTGTTCTGGGCACTCCCGGGTTTTGCCCCTTTAACCTTTGACTTTGCTTGAATTGTTCTTGGTGCCTCAGGGGCTAAAGGAGATCTTGTACTGTTTCAGTTGCCTGAGAGCTTAGAGGACGTGGCTATGTACATCTCCCAGGAGGAGTGGGGGCATCAGGAGCCTAGTAAGAGGGCCCTCTCCAGGGACACGGTGCAGGAGAGTTATGAGAATGTGGACTCACTGGGTAAGGACTTCTTTTCTAGGGATGAAGACTGAGCCATTTCTGACCAGGTTCCTGTGTCTTAGCCACTCACTTCCCTTATTCTAAAAGTAGAGGCCTGTTGCACCAATTTGTGCACCAGTGGGGGTCCCTCAGCCTGACCTGTGGGATCGGCCAAAACCGGCTCTCCAACATCCCCTGAGGGGTCCCAGATTGCAAGAGGGCACAAGCCAGGTCGAGGAACCCCACCGGTGCACAATCTGGGCTGGAGAGGGACGTGGGAGGTTGGCCAGCCGGGGAGGGACCGTGGGAGGACTCTAGGGCAAGTCTGGCCCATCTCACTCAGTCTCAATCAGCTAGACCCCACCAGTAAGCTAACCTACCATTTGGAGTGTCTGTCCCATGGTGGTCAGTGCACGTCATAGTGAGCGGTTGAGTGGCTTTAGCATATCCTTAGCATATTATGCTTTGATTGGTTGAACAGATGACCAGACACTTAGCATATTAGGCTTTTATTATAAAGATCCCCCGGAGCTAGGATCAGTTAAAAACAGCTAGGATCAGTTAAACATCTTCTAAGTGTCAACATTTGGCACACTTAAAGGCCCCAGCTGCCAGAGCTGAAGGCAAAGAGTCTGAGCTATAATGGTTTTCTCAGGGCAGAGCAAATCAAATCCAGTGACTGACCCCCTTCCATGCATGACACCTTTCAGTGTCCTAGGATGCTATGGAACTATAAAGTTCTTGATGACTTGCATTTTTGAAATCCTTATTCTTCTGATCCCACTTGTGTTTTCTATACTTCATTAGCATTTCTAGGCCCTTCCCCAGAGACACAAATTTCAGGGGCAGTGGCACCAGCATTCCAGTTTAGCAGCTCTCCCAGCCCTTAAAAATTCAGGAAGTAGGGAGGACCTTATGGAAATTTGGAAATGATGTATACCATAGGGCCTCGGGTTACACTGGAGATTCGTTCCCACAGTGCAACGTAACGTGATTTTCACTGTAAGTCAGAACCCACCTGCATAAGCACCTACATCACTCACATGGAGCAGTACACAGCAGTAATGAAGTGAAACAGTTAACCAAATTTAAAAGGTAGATAACAATTTCTCACCTTTACTTGTGGTAAATAAATAATAAAAAACATAAAGCACCTATGTATATACGTCGAAATGACGGACTTTTTTTTTTTTTTTTTTTATAAATGGGAGATGGTGATGTAACCATGAAACAACATACATCGAGTCCGAGGTAACCCGAGGACTGTCTGTATTCAAAACTGGAGCTAAATAAATCAAGCATAAATTAAGGTGCATATGTGTGTTGACCTATTATGCAGAGATTTTAAATGAGGCCTATGAAATATGACCAAAAAAGAAAAAACAACAGTGTTTAGATGGAGACTGTACAAAAACTAGGATTTAGGTGAAGAGTGTACAGGTATTGTTTAATTCCTTCAACTTTTTTGTATGTATGAAAATTATTATAAAAGTTGAGGTAAGTCTTTAAAAACAACCTAAGACAGCAATGTGTCCATTACAATTATGGCTACATTGACTCACACCATAGAAGAGTCACACCACTTTGTTTTCATAAATTAGGTTTTTGTAAAGAGAAGCAGAGCTATCAGTTCACTTGCACTAATACTACAAAGGGGTCACTGCTGGGTTTGGTTCCCTTCATTTGGACCTTCTCCAGCTTCCCTTTTACTCTGCTGTGGTTTAGTGCCTAATTGAGCACAGTTCTTTCAGTGAGTGCTAAATAGGAAGAGATGTTCAGATCACATGTTCTTAGAACTAAACTATTTAAAGTCGACGTTTGCTAAGTTAGAGTGAAGTTTTTGTTTTTAGCATAGCATAAGAATGGCACGTTTTGATTTCGACCTCAGGTTGTTTTAGAGCCCCCAGATCCTTTTCTGATTGTCCTCCACATTATAGTTTCTTCTTCTGGAGTTGCCCAGTCAGATTAAGTTCTATTCACAATACATAAGAGTTAAGGCTTCTTTACAAACTGATAACTTAAGGAACTGACCACTCAGACCATTTTGGTTTGGTAGTTTTAATTACAAAAGTGGTATGTTCTCATTGCAGAAAAATCCCAAGTACTACAAAAGTGTAAAAAGAAAAAAGCTATAGTCTCCCCAAATATCTTTCTTTAGAGGTAACCATTGGGAACAGTTTAGCTTGTTAATGTATATTTCAGACTTATTGTTCTCTGTATCTACTCACAGAGGACAGGGAACATGACTTTACTTCCCCTGCTTGGTGGAGGAATGTGGTGACACAAAAATCTATATCTTTCATTGTGAACAGAGTCTCAGGTTCCCAATCAGGAAGCCCTGAGCATCCAGGTGGAACAAGGAAGAAAACTATGGGATCCCAGTATCCAGATTTGCAAGGAGGGACTGAGCCCCAGAAACCCAGCTCCAGGTAAGGAACTTGCGGAGCCTGCCCATCTAGTTTCCCCATTGGGAGTGAGGCATTTGAGGGTTTGGGTGTGGGCTAGCCCATCACTGCTGCCAGGAAGGTCCTGTGTCCCCACTGCCCGCTTCCATCCCGGTGAGGCAGCAAGGCACCCAGAGTTCAAAACCTAAGGAAGCATTCACTCCTGGGCTCATTTGCCCATCCTAGTCTCAGCCCTGCTGCATCCCACCCAGTTCTGAAGGGAAGAGCCAGAGGCTCAGTTGAAGAGGAATAGGGGGGCCCCTACAAGGGAATAAGACTGGTCTGAGCTCTGGTTCCTGACCAATGGCTCCACCTTTTATCCAGATACCTCTCTATAGTGTTTTCCCTGTATGGGGAAGATAGAAAACAGATACAGCCAGCCTTTCTGGACTTCTGACATACTGGCAGTAGTGGGCATATTGGATTTTCTTTAGGGTAAAAATAATGTAGGGTTTGGTTTCTCTCACTACCAGGAGAAGAGAAATTTGAGAGTCGGGAAGAAAGTACTCAGTCTATTTCTCCTGAGAACATCCATCTGCAGGTGCTTCTGACTGGCCAGGCCAGAGGGGAGGTGCCCTGGAGTCCTGAGCAGGCACCGCCTGGGGACAGGGCAGAAGGGCATTGGGAGCCTCTCCCCGAGGATCGGATGGAGCAGTCCAGAGTGGGGGCCACAAGTTGCAGAGAAGCAGGCCAGCCAAAGGAACTGCAGCCAAAGAAGCTCCATATTTGTCCCTTGTGTGGCAAAAATTTCTCTAATAACTCAAATCTAATTAGGCACCAGAGAATACATGCAGCAGAAAGACTGTGTATGGGTGTAGAGTGTGCTGAAATCTTTGGTGGGAGTCCACACTTTTTATCACTACCCAGAGCACACTTTGGAGAGGAGGCCCATAAGTGCCTTGAATGTGGAAAAAGCTTCAGTCAGAATACCCACCTGACTCGCCATCAACGCACCCACACAGGCGAGAAGCCCTATCAATGTAATGTATGTGGGAAAAGCTTCTCTTGCAACTCCAATCTCCACAGACACCAGAGAACACACACCGGTGAAAAGCCCTACAAGTGCCCTGAGTGTGGTGAGATTTTTGCTCACAGTTCTAATCTCCTTAGGCACCAGAGAATTCACACAGGAGAGAGACCCTATAAGTGTGCTGAGTGTGGAAAAAGTTTTTCTCGAAGTTCCCACCTTGTCATACATGAAAGAACTCATGAGAAAGAGAAACTTTACCCCTTCTCTGAGTGTGGAGAAGCAATGAGTGACAGCAGCCCCTTTCTTACAAATCATGGAACCCACAAAACAGAGAAGAAACTCTTTGAATGTTTGACCTGTGGGAAAAGCTTCCGACAGGGCATGCACCTCACCAGACATCAGAGAACGCACACAGGGGAGAAACCATATAAATGTACCCTTTGTGGGGAAAACTTTTCTCATAGATCCAACTTAATCAGGCACCAGAGAATTCACACAGGAGAAAAACCCTATACCTGTCATGAGTGTGGAGATAGTTTTTCTCACAGCTCCAATCGGATTCGTCATCTGAGGACCCATACAGGAGAGAGACCCTATAAATGTTCTGAATGTGGAGAAAGCTTTTCTCGGAGTTCACGCCTTATGAGTCATCAGAGAACTCACACCAGATAAAACAATGGAATTTCATATCACCACAGATAAAGGTGGCATATTCAGAGGGTTCTGCTGTTGAGAGCTGGTATTTCTTGCCCTGCTGACCAAAATCATTTGTGTTCTTTTATTTAAAAAATTTTGTTGCTGATTTAGAGAGGAAGGGAGAGGAGATAGAAACATCTGTGGAGATTGGCTGCCTTCTGCGCTCACTGGCCCACTGGGGATGGATCCCACAGCTCAGCATGTGCACTGACCAGGAATCTAACTATAAGTTCTGGTTCATAGGACAACGCTCAACCATTGAGCCATACAGACTGGTGAAATATGTTTTTGAGGTAATTACTATAAGGAGTAACAAGGATGAGTGTATGTGGGAGAGGTGGGGGGAGGTCATTGCAAGGGAGAAGCAGGGGCAGCAAAGGATTAGCATCAATCTAAAATGGAATTCTGTCTGAACTAGTGAGGATGCTAAGTCTTTGAGGTCACCTGATCGAGGCAGAATTCTCTATGAAGTCCACCTTGTGTCATGGTGCCTACCCCGTTGATACATTTGCCATGTTGTAATTTGGATGCCTTACTTAGTCTTGTCTTTCCCAGCAACTTTGGGAATTTATGACTTTTTGTTACTGCTTCCTCACTTTGGACATTCAGCAGGAGTATTTGAACTCCTGAGACCAAAGAAGAGAGACTGAATCTCCTGGGAAACCAGCTTGAGGGCAAAGAAAAACTGGTGGTTAGTTGTAGCTCTCCAAAAGGCCTTGACAGGGAAGCCACAGCACACCTCAATGGCCTCACAGGAAGGCCCATTGGCAGGCCATGAACATCAATGTCACCTCAGACTAACAGGACCCAGAGACCTAAGGGAAATAGTAAGGGGATTTGCAGGTCAGCCTAGGAATTGGCACAGGGGACTAGAATCTGAATTAGTCTAATCTGTACAGAGACCAAGACTTCCCCCACCTCCGTCAGAGAAGGATAAACAGAACTCTGGAGTCTTCAGAGGGTTATGTAAGAAAGGTTCCCTAGGAGACTGAAAACACAGATCTTAAGGAAATTAGGGATCATGCCTTTCCCTGTTGGAAATATGTTGGGATGGTAATAAATACCTTCAAGAAACGTGAAAGTGTGTGACTCTTCATTGAAAGTGCCCTGGCTTCCAGTGTTGATCTGTTTGGAGGACCTGCTTTCTCTTTGTGGTCTTGCTGAGTTGGTCGAGAAGTTGTTCCACCAAGGTGGCAGCAAACAGGGTGAAGTAGGGTGTGGCATGGTAACAGAGGGTCAAGCCCAAGGGGCTTGGGATGATATCATAATGGTCTCTGAGGTTTTCTTCTGTAGTGTACAGCAGTAAAAGTATCAGATTTTTTTGTTTGTTTGTTTATAATGTTTTATTTTTTGTGAGGTAGCTGAAGGAAGACTGGGCTCTTCAGAGTTAGGATATTTTGGTCTTACAAATGATTCCCAGGAAGAGGTGGTCCTGCTATAACTGAATTATTGCCCCTTAGTGGAGAAAGGACAAAATTATTAGGAGAAAGCATTATATTTTAGAATGTATAATCAGGAATAGGAATTTTAGGAGAGTATGCCTATGGGAAAGAGAGAGAAAAGGAGGAGATATTCTAGGAGAAGGATATTCTGAAGCCAGGAAAACATCTCAGGAAAAGATCTAACTAGCAGTTGTTTGGGAAACAAGGATAAAACAATTCCATTGGAAACCAGCTATCAAGTGAGAAAAAAAACCCTATATGCCCCAACCATTTTTTTAATTAAATTATTATCTGTGTACATATTTTAACTTTGCCCCCCCTCTCATACATACCCTCCCTCCCCAGAGTTTTGTGTCCATTGGTTGTACTTATATGCATGTGTACAAGTCCTTCAATTGATCTCTTATCTCCCTCAGATCTCCCTACCCTCCCTGCTGTAATCTGACAGTCTGCTTGTTGCTTTACTGTCTTTATATCTGTCTTTTGGTTCATCAGTTTATTGCCCCAACCATTTTTATTAGTCTTGCCTCAGCCCTGCCTCAGTTTAGAATTGAGTTCTTCCTTGGTTTTCTGAAGCCAGTTTTTAAAAATCTTAGTTTCTTATTTCTCTGCTTTTCTCTGACCTACAAGAGGGCAGTGGTGGGGTGTGTGTGTGTGTGTGGGTGTGTGTGTGCGTGCGTGCTGTGGGGGCGGGGGGAAAGAAGGTGTTTAAGGATTTGAGAGATGAGTGTAGGATCCACAGTGGTAGGAGTGGGACAGGGTTGATGTGGTTGCTGATGGCATGAAATGGGTGGGTAGTGTCAAGTTGATGTTAATAAGCATTCTCTGGTTAAGATCGTAACCTGTATGCATTGTAAATCTTACAGGAATTGGAAGTGCCCCTCCCCTTTGTTCTCGCTCCTAATCTTATGATTTGTCTAGTGTTGCTCCTACTTGGAGCATTGCAGCTTGAGGCTTACAGGACTCCCAGGTATTTGCTTTTGGCACTGAAAGGCTTTCCAATAGGAGCCTCTACTCAGTCCCAGTGTAGCTCCCTTTCTAGCAAATTTCAGATGCATAGTTGTCCTTGGCCTTGTTTTCATGAGATATCGCAAATTATTGCATGTAAAAAACACTAGCACAGTGCCTAGCACATAGAATGTATGCACCTATTTGTGCCATCTGGGGTCAGATAATATTTGCAGGACTGTCTTCTGGTGCTGAGGTCACTGTAAGACTACATTGGAAGAACTTCGGGGAGCAGTCTGATATTGACAGGCAGGCTTGATGATGTCTTCAAACAAAACAAAAAACCCAAAACTAGCTTAATGCCCTAGAAGGCACAGGCATCTGTACGGAAGGGTAATGAGCTAAAGGGATAAGGGTTCATAATTGAAGTGTTAGTCTAGAGCAGTGGTCGGCAAACTCATTAGTTATCAGAGCCAAATATCAACAGTACAACCATTGAAATTTCTTTTGAGAGCCAAAAACTGACTTATGTGCATGGGCCATGAAATTTTAATCGAACTCTGTGCGTCCCCACACGTGGTATTTTGTGGAAGAGCCATACTCAAGGATTCAAAGAATCGCATATGGCTCGAGAGCCGCAGTTTGCCGACCACTGGTCTAGAGGTAAAGGTCCTATGAACTCGGAAAGTTGCCACTGCTAAAGTCCTCTCGGTGGAGCGCTGGAGCGCTGGAGCGGGCAGGGGACTGCCGTCGGGGAAACAAAGGAGCCAGGCGCTGCTGCGGGGAACCGCCACCCACCTCCCGGGCCGTGCGGGGCCTGCCACCAGCCGCCACCATAACTGCCCTGACAACGGCATGGCCGAGGCGGTGCAGATCCAGTTCGGCCTCATCAACTGTGGCAATAAGTACCTGACGGCCCAGGCATTTGGGTTCAAGGTGAATGCGTCGGCCAGCAGCCTGAAGAAGCAGATCTGGACGCTGGAGCAGCCGCCCGACTAGGCGGGCAGCGCGGCTGTGTGCCTGCGCAGCCACCTGGGCTGCTACCTGGAGACAGACAAGGACAGCAACCTGACCTGCGAGCAGCAATGTGACCTGTGAGCGCGAGGCGCCGGCGCCAACTGCCGCTTCCTGATCGTGGCACACGACAACGGCTGCTAGTCGCTGCAGTCTGAGGCGCTCCGGCGCTACTTCGGTGGCACCTAGGACCGCCTGTCATGCTTCGCACAGACCCTGTCGCCAGGTGTCGCCAGCCCAGAAATGGAGCGTGCACATCGCCATGCACCCGCAGGTCAACATCTACAGCCTGACCGCGCGCAGCCAGCCATCTCGCTCATCATGCCGGCCTTCCCGGACCAGCGCTAATGCGTGCCGACTGCTGACCACGCTTCCTGGCCACAGAGGGCGCCCGGAGCTCACCATGGGCTACACGCTTGAGTTCCGCTCCGGGAAGGTGGCCTTCCGCCACTGCGAGGGCCGCTACCTGGCGCCCTCAGGACCAGAGGCACGCTCAAGGCGGGCAAGGCCACCAACCAAGAGCTGGGGGGCCGTGCTGCAGGACGCCAACGAGAGGAAGGAACATGTCCGCGCAACAGGGTATGGACGTGTCGGCCAATCAGGACGAAGAGACCGACCAAGAGACTTTCCAACTGGAGATCCACCGCGACACCAAAAAGTGCGCCTTCCGCACCCACACGGGAAAGCACTGGACGCTGACGGCCACCGGGGGCCTCTGCCAAGAGTGCCAGCTGCTGCTTTGACATCGAGTGGCGTGACCGGCGGACCTCACTACGTGCGTCCAACGGCAGGTTCGCGATGGCCAAGAAGAATGGGCAGCTGGCCGCCTCGGTGGAGACAGCAGGGGACGCGGAGCTCTTCCTCATGAAGCTGCGGGGAGCACGGCTTCATCGGCTGCCGCAAGGTCACGGGCACCCTGGACGCCAACCGCTCCAACTATGACGTCTTCCAGTTCGAGTTCAACGACAGCGCCTACAACATCGAAGACTCCACAGGCAAGTATTGGACGCTGGGCAGCGACTCCTTGGTCACCAGCAGCAGCGACACCCCTTTGAGTTCTCCGACAACAAGGTGGCCATCGAGGTGGGCGGGCACCACCTGAAGGGGGACCAGGCAGGGGTCCTGAGGGCCTGTGGAGAGACCATCGACCCTGCCACTCTGTGGGAGTACCTGGCCCGCCCCCGCATCCCTGTCCCCCGTCCCCTCCCTCGCTAATTCCTCTCCAGGTGGGCACCGCCCACGGTGGCTTGCCCCTTGTCTTTCGTACCGGAAACCCAGAGAAAACAGTGTCTCCCTGCTGCCCTGTGTGGCCTCTCCCGATGGGTCGGCGCTGTGGCCCGGCCCTTAGCGGGACTGGGGACCCTCCGCCCTCTCTGCTGTGGTGAGACTGGCACCTCTTCTGACCTCAGACAACTCTGACCCTATTTCCCCAAAGTGGCTGAGGAGCAGTGGGGGCTAGAGCCCTGGATGTGGCGGGGGTTTAACTGGCATCTCCTGCCCTCCCCACGCCCCCAGCCCAGGTTCCCCCCAACTTCCAGCAGCCAGGGCCTTGGCCCAAGCCCTTCGGTGGCCCCTTCCAGCCCTGCAACTGGAAGCAGAAAATGACCAAATCAGTGTGAGTGTGTGTGTGTGTGTGTGTGTGTGTGTGTGTATAATTTTTTTATTTATTTTTTAATGAAATGTCATTGTTGGAGGTGGCACAGGCAAACCTCGGGTAGCATCTCCAGGCCTTGGTGCCTCACCGGTCCCGCCTCCTGCCCGCCCAACCAGAGCCTCCAGCTGGCGGATTGGTGCTCCTTGTCAGATTCTGGGTCTGGGGTGGGACGAAGCCGGGTGTCACTCTCCTCTGAGGAGACACCCAGCCCTGACCCTTGGCTCCCAGCTGCACCCCTACCAGCCCCCCAACCCTTGTCCGCCATGCATCTCACTCTGGGTGTCTTGGTCTTTTATTTTTTGTAAGTGTCATTTGTATAATTAAATGCCCATGATAGTAGCTTCAGACTGGAAAGAGCAAAATAAAATAATGCAAAACCAGCAATGAATAAATAAATATATAAATAAATATAAAAATAAAGTCCCCTCTTGCTTTCACTCTGGCAAGAAAGACTTGGATGATCGGTTTTCAGAACCTCCCTGCTGCTCTTCGACAAATATAGCAGAACTAGTCAGGAGTAACAGGAATACCTGCATACTCTGTAAATCAACACAGAAAAGACACAGGAAGAGAGTAGACAAGTGTGCTCACAAGTAAAGACCCAGGTGAGATAAGTCTCAATAAAAAGTGGTGCTCATCCTGGCTAGTGTGCTCAGTGGTTAGAGCATCAGCTTATGCACTGAAGGGTCATGGGTTTGATTCCTGGCCAAAGGCATGTGCCTGGGTTGCGGGTTCAATTCCCAGTAGTCAAGGTGCATGAAACCAATTGACATGCCTCTCGAACATGGATATTTCTCCCTCTCTTGTTTTTCCCCTTTCTCCTTCCCTTCCACTCTCTCTAAAAATCAATGAAAATATATCCTCGGAGGGGATATGGGGGAGGGAGGGAGGGGGCAAAAAAAAAATCATTAAAATATGTAAAAAAAATAAAAAAATAAATTAATAAAAAAAAAAAAAAAAAAAAAAAAAAAAAAAAGAAAATATATCCTCGGATTAGCACAAAAAAGTGCTCGAGGCGCTGGCTAGGTAGCTCAGCTGGTTAGAGCATTATCCCAACATGCCACGGTTGTGGATTCCATCCCTTCAGGGCAAATACAAGAATCAACCAATAAGTGCATAAGTAAGTGGGACAACAAATCGATGTTTCTCTCCCTCTTTTTAAAAAAATCAGTTAATAAAATTTTTTTAATGGTGCTTGAGAACATGGGAATGTGGAAGCTTCAAAGGCAAGGACAGAGTAATCTTATGTAGCAGAGATGTAAAATCTTCCAAAAGTACCTGATTTTACCTCACTGCCAGAAAAGAAAATGGTGTTCATATTGCTCTGTGTGTAGTGTTCACTGGGCAGCAGCCCATCCACCTGGATAGATTCCAAGCTGGGATGTCTAGAGAGTGAGAATTCAGTAACAGTTATAAATATTTTAAGGGAAAAATATATTTCAATAGTAGTTTCTGCTGTCTATATGAATAAAATCCAACTTTGATTACATTCAATATAACATTCTTAAGACTGATCTTTAACAAAGTCATCTGTAAGAAGGTAAATTGTTGCTGGCACCTTTCCACTTCTCAGATCTTTGTGTACATCTGGTGTATTAAGTATTCTTTTTCAATGAAACTGTTTCATATGTGGGATATTAGCAAGTTTCAGAATCATGGCAATTCTCAGAGGTGAGTATAATGGTTTTATAAATATTTCACCATAATTAAAAAGTTAAAAAATTTTTAAAGATCTGTGTTTTTATTTGTTTTCCTAAATTTATATTAGGGTTTTAAATAACACACTTTATATATATATATATATACATATATATATATATACATATATATGTATATATATGTGTATATATATGTATATATATGTGTATATATATGTATATTTTATTGATTTTTTACAGAGGAAGAGAGAGGGATAGAGAGAAACATCAATGAACTAGAATCATCGATCAGCTGCCTCTTGCACACCTCCTACTGGGGATGTGCCCGCAACCAAGGTACATGCCCTTGACCGGAATCGAACCCATGACCTTTCAGTCCACAGGCTGATGCTCTATCCACTGAGCCAAACCGGTCTCGGCAAATAATACACATTTTATATTTGAGACTTTATTTGGTTTCTCTTTAGTGTAGATTTTGTTTAATTTGAACCAAGACTCAATTTTTCTACTGTTGAAAATTTTAAAAAGTTTCTCTAATGGTATTTCTGATCAATTGGTTCCCATAAATCCTTCTGCTGGCAAAGTCTTCTGTAGCTCAGCTTCCTCAAGTAGTCCTTTCAGGTCCTTTTGGTGCTGCTCAATTCCATTTATTCCTTAGAAATGTCCTACTTGAGATTAGTTTCATGGTTCTCATTCCAGATACAGAACTTCCTGGGAAGTAACAAAAACTACCAATTTTTTTTTCCATTCCAGGTGTTATGAAGAAAAAAACGTGTCAGGGAAATGATAAAAATGATTGGTATTTCAGTTATTTTTCCACTCCTTTAGGGAAGAGCCTGACTGGCTTTCAGTCATTCCTGAACTAATAGAATTCTCACAAAGCGTTTATCTAGGAGTCCAGAGGAGCCTAACCTTTAGTTTTTCTCTAACATTGGTTGCAAGAAGTGCCAATTGGTTTATGTAGCACTAAGAACATCATGAAAGAATATCATAATTAATAGCGTGTGGAGATAGTTGCAGGCTAAGATCAAGCAACCTTGTAAAAGAGGCAGCTATAACTAAGGCAATACTAAAAATAAATAAAAAATACCAAGTTTTTCTGCCAACAGTAGCACTATTAAGTGCAGCCAATTACCCAGCAAAAATACTCAGCCTGCTATGGCAGTTGGGTGGTATGTCAAAATAAACTCCATGTATTTGCTTTCATTGGTTCCCACCTGTGCATTCACCGTGTTCAGCTAGAAGGTGAAATCAAAGGGAAGACTCGGAACTTTTATGGACTCCACAGCAAGAAATAACTATGGCCTCAAACTTCAACCAGTGAGAATCACCAGTGACCCTTATTCACTATTCGCCATTTTGTGCTTTGTCTTCTCTTCTTTCTCAGGATCTCTTCTCCCACTTCCCTAACCAACTCTCTACTCATGCTATGAATCAAGTCTGCCAATGACATCAAAAGGCACTGCTAGCAGAGCTTCATTTATTCAGTTCAGTAAGTTCCAATCGTATGTTCAGCTTTGGGACAGCTGATGAGGATCTCAGTGCTAAAAGCATCATTGTCCTGATTCTGAGAGACTGGAAACAATAATGACTTTTGAAGAAACTAAGTCCCAACCGAAGAAACTAAGTCCCAAACTGGCAGATACTAAGGAAATGGAAATGTTTTGAAACATATGCAAGTGACTTAGGCAGATGCCTATGGATATCACCTGTTTAATCTTTTTCTCACTCAAAAAAGGATCAAGATCTATGCCTCAGAGGAGTGTAACACCATTCTATCTAAAAGCAAAATAGCATAGTGGCCTGGTTAGTGGTCTCTTATTTTCATTTCCACCTTAAACTTACCTCCAGATGAACATCCTAGAAAGAAGCTCCCTCAAAAACCTTCAAATGATGCTCTGGTATATGCTCTATTGAAAGCATTTCTCTTCACTTCCATTCAAAGCACATAGATCTACATGAACTTATTTTCTTTCTTTCCCTAAATGTAGCAGTTACATTTAGTAAAAATACTAAAAATTTCACACACTAATCTCTCTGGCTTTTTAAGGCTATGCTTTTATGTTACCTCACTAATTTTCAACCTTTTTAATCTCACAGCACACTTAACTAATCACTAAAATCCTACAGCACACCAAAAAATGTGTATTTATTTTTTGCTAATCTGAAAAAATATCTCTCTGTCATGGAGAATGAATTTTGACTCATTCACATTGGATGGCTCTTGTGTTGGCTGTTGTCATCTTTTCATTTGACAATGTAAGGGAAAACAGTTCGATGCCCCTGACTAAATAGTCAGGTATTGGCATATTTTAAAATTCTTGCAGCACATTGGCTGAAAATTGGTGCCTCACCCTCTGCTCACTCTCATCTGCTGGCAAATCTCTCGAGGTCTTTTATAGTTTTTCCCAACCAAAACTCAACATCCATTTCCTTGGAATTTCTAAAGCATTCAGCTAAAGTCCTCCCTTTTCCTACTGTAATACTGATACTCATGAAATTGCTTGAGTACTTCTGTCAGATTCTTTGATTTAAAGACCTTGTTCTATGAACTTTGTAACACTGACTACACCTGGTGGACTTAAATAATTCTTTGACTGGCCCAAACCGGTTTGGCTCAGTGGATAGAGCGTCGGCCTGTGGCCTCAAGGTCCCAGGTTCCATTCCGGTCAAGGGCATGTATTGGGGAGCAGGGGGTGTGCAGGAGGCAGCTGATCAATGATTCTCTCTCATCGATGTTTTTCTCTCTCTATCCCTCCCTCTTCCTCTCTGTAAGAAAAATCTGTAAAATATATTTAAAAAAAAGAAAAAGAAAATGGGGAGCTCTCCCATTAAAAAAATAATAATTCTTTGACTGGTAGAGACTAGTACTATGAAAACACTAGTAATTAGAACACAACCAAAACGAAATACTCAGATTCCTTTGACTATGATTTAGTAAATATGTGTGGAATGCACATTTTAATCAGGTAATTCGGCCAGACACTGCAGGAAATACAAGATAAAAAGAAGGTTCCCATTCTACAGGAAGCATGCTGTCCTGAAAAAGGACAACAGGGAAACTAGATTACAGTCTAGGAGCGGCCAATGGTAAATTGTGACCCTTGCAGGTCACCTCTTAGCTCTCCGTCATGGAGAACTAGAAATGTAACCTATTCCACATACCTCACAAGAAAAAACAATTGTGAGATGCACAGCCCAAAACGGGGTAACCTCAGGTCCGCTGATCCTGGACGAACAAAAAGTCTTCCTTCTTGAGGCCGTGATGTGCTAGGGACCAGGAAGGCCGAGGACCCTGCGAGATCAGTGGACGGCGACCTCCACCTGGCGGGGCTCCCCATAACGGCCGCGGCCTCCGGAAGGGGATTCAGGAACTACCCGACGCACCCCGCCTCACAGCCAGGCCGCGAGACAGCGCCAACCACCGGCCAAGACGCGCGCAGGGTCCTTCTAGGCTCCACATCCTGGACTCTGGAGCATCAACTCCTCCGGGCACAGGGGCTGAACCCCACAGGAGGCAGGATCCTTCCGCGAAGCCTGGAGCCCCCGCGCTCAGCCCCAGCTGACTCAGCTCGGGGCGGAGCCAGTCGGGAAGCGCACCACTTCCGCTTCCGGTAGGAGCGGGGTTTCACACACTTGCGTAGGGAACGCCCCAGGCGGGCGAGGTACGTCCGTCGGTCCTGTCTGGCCGCACCAGAATCCGCACCTCTCGGGGCTCTGGACCCGCTTTGAGTGCCGAGGAGCCGGTAGCTTTGGCCCTTGGGAAGCAGCCGGAAGTGCGGCGACGTGCGGTTGAGTCGGAGGGCGAGGGAACGGCCCTCACGGAACTCCGCTGCCTGAGGTAACTAAGAATCCATCCCCCCTCGGCGTCTGCTGCGGAGCCTCAGAGACCCGCCGGCCTCTGCTCGAGGCCACTGCAAGGTGGTTGGAGGCGAGACGCTATTTCTCGTGGCCCAGCCGGGAGAGCCTGTCTCGGGCGAGGCCGGCCCTCAGGCTCCGGAGGTCACTCTTCCTGCCCTTTGCGGGCAGAAGCGCCGGGGCCCGCGGCGGCCGCACGCTCCTACGCTGCCCGCTTGCACAGTGCTCACTAATCCCGAATGCCCTCCAGAAATGTCTACGTTCTGGTGTGGGTTTTGGGGTGCTTTTTTTTTTTTTTTTTTTGCCGGGGGGTGGGGTGGGGTGGGGTTGGGTTGGGGAGAGCTTGGGGGCCATTACTACTGATGTTAACCGCCAGAGAGTCTCAGTTCAGCCTAAGAGCGATCACTTTCTCCTGAGGCCAAAGTCCCCTGGCCTCCCTGAGCCGGGGTGGACAGCGAGGAGCCGGCCATTCATTTGTGAATACCGAGGCATCCTGTACAGAATCTCGGTGCCGGTTCTGCAGCTTCACCTCTGGGAGAGGGAGGCTTATGAAACTCTCCATAGGCCCCTTAGAAGTCTAAAAGACACTTGAAACGTAAGGTCAGCAGAAGGGTCAGTTAATCATCACCAACTGCCATTCTCACCCTTTTCATGACTTGGTATTTGGACATACATTTTGTAAAGAAAGGTCGGCTGCGATTTTTCCTAGTGGAAGTAAACAGACATTTTAAAATACAGTATAAAAATAAAGACAAAAAAATAAAAATAATAAAATTCAGGTATAAATTTTCTGCATAGTGCTCTTAATATGTCTTGCAAAGAAGTGCCAAAAAAGAATGTTGAGCATCTCAGTTACTTAACTGGGGGTTGCTTTTTGAGAAGAAAAGGCTACTTTTCCCCTAATTACTTTCCTTCTACTCTGGTCTCACTGTCTCAGTCTCCTGCCAAGTATTCATGCAAGTAAAGGAGAGTCTCAAATGTTACAAGAAGTGAAGGCTTCAGTCATCACAAGAGGATGGAAGGTCATAGAAGTTGTGCCTCTTATTAAAAGCAGAAGACTAGGGTGATATATTAAAATTAAGAGAAACTCAGAATGTTTTCATAATCTTTTTTTTTTTTTTAACATGACGAAGATATGATAGGAAGCACATCAATGAACTCTTTCGATAATTTCTAAACTCTTTGGAGTCATTGGGTGCCAATTTTCTCACCCACCAGTTTTCACCCATTTATTATTTTCTTATTAAAGGCAAAGTCATCAATTGACATTTGTCTTTAATGAGTTGTCTTATAGATCAACTGAATAATATAAAGAAAAGGAGAGAAACCAAGGGCCTGCCTGGCAGTTGATTTTAAAGAGAAGGCAAGGCAGGATGTTTTCACTTTTCTCTCACAATAAGTAGCAAGTAGTAAAGTTCATGTGATTTTCTTATTGACCTGGTTTTTTTCTGTCCTCGGTGCCTTAGGAAGAAGATCCTTTTATTGATTTTATTCCAGACCAGACTGGGCCTTAGTTGTCAGAGGTGGTACTGGTGGTGTGCCCACAGGAACAACTGTTCCAGCAGAATGATGATGGTAGATCTGAAAGTGGCTGAGTACCTGCATCCTCAGATCAAGGCTCTGTGGGAGACCAAGGGACCTGTGACAGAGAGCTCCTCTCAGGGTAAAAAATATACTGCACAAATGGACAGTTCCAGTCCTGAGACCTTTCGCCAACACTTCCGGAATTTCCACTATCATGAAGCAGCTGGATCCCGAGTGGCTGTTGGCCAACTTCAGGAATTATGCCGTCAATGGCTGAGACCAGACATACACTCAAAAGAAGAGATCTTGGATCTGCTGGTGCTAGAACAGTTCCTGACCATTCTGCCCAAGGATACTCAGACCCAGATAAAGAAGCACCACCTACAGAGCATTGAAGAGGCTGTGGCCTTGGTAGACCACTTGCAGAGTGAATCTGGTCAAACAAAGAATGGGGTGAGAAGATTCCTGATTAACATACAGTGATATAGAATGAAAATGGATAAATGGGGTTAGAGTCAGTTAACTGAGAAGTAAAATGAATTAGGTCAATGATCTGTTGTTGCTTTAGGCCATCTAAGGCAGGACCTGAAACCACTGATCTGCAGCAATAGTCATTCCACAAGTTTTGGAGGTTCTGGCAGAGACTTCCTTGGCCATAGAGAGAGTTGCATTTCCCTCTTTGGAGCCAGAATGCATTGAGAGTAATAAGCTTAGTCTGGCTTGGTGTAGGAGATGGGTCTTAAGTTCTAAGAAACAAAGGGCAACAAGAAATTGGAGAAGAATGGGCAGATCAGAAAAAGGGGAGAACATATAAAGATAAAAGGAAAGGATAATAAAAAGAAAGAGAACCCAAAAAGTTAGAAGGGAAGACTGCAGAGGAAGAAAGGATAAATTTAAAAAAATGAAAACAAAGATTTGGAAATCCCAACAGAGTGACAGAAAAGAAAGACAAGGAGATAGTGTCCTTCCTACAATAGACAAGAGACTTCTCTGTCCTCCCTTAGTGGTTGGTCCTTGGCTCTGCTGCTGAGTGGGAATCCAGGGTATGCCCTTGGGCAGGTGGCAGCATATCAACTGGCTTCAGGCCTACTGTCAAGAATACAAGGCAGAGCATATGTTTGGTGTCAAGATCATCTAGAAAGAGATTGGAGTCAGAATCATTCTTTCCCCTTCTCCATTTTATCCACATTCTCTGTAAAACCTTTCCTGGCCATGGAGAAAATCTGATTGATAGGACAGTTAAATTTTTTAATCTTTTGAGGAAAGTATAAGACAAGAAATCCAGCAGGGATCTAAGTGAATAGAGAGATGCTGTCAAGACAGCATGAGAATAGGCGGCCTGCACAACCCTCCTAGTGGTCTGAGCTGGGCTTTATAGAGAGGAGTGGAGACTATTCTGATGGAGGGCTGGCAGTAGCTATATCTTTTACCTTTTATCCTGATTTTCCCACATTTGTGGATAGGTTTTTTGGTTTTTTTTAATCCTCACCCAAGGATATTTTTTCATTGATTTTTTTAAAGAGAGTGTAAGAAAGAGGGAAAGATAGAAATATTGACGTGAGAGAAACACATCGATTGGTTGCCTCCTGCACACCCCCTGACCAGGGCTAGGAAAGAGCCTGCAACCAAGGTATGTGCCTTTGATAATAATCAAGCCCAGGACTCTTAGGTCTGCAGTCCGGCGCTCTAACCACTGAGCAAGACCAGCTAGAAAAATTTGTGGCCCATTATCTCTTCGTTTTTTAGGTGTTTTTTTTTTTTTTTTTTTTTTAACATTTTTTTTTATTGATACCAGAGAGGAAAAGGGAAGGGAGAGAGATGCATCAGTGATATAAGAATCATTGATTGGCTGCCTCCTGCATGCCTCCTACTGAGGATTGAGCCCATAACCTGGGGACGTTCCCTGATAGGGAATCAGCCGTGACCTCCTGGTTCATAGGTCGACGCTCAACCACTGAGCCTTGCCACCTAGCCCATTATCTCTTAAAGTCTTTTTGTCATTTCCTTTAGTGTCTCATACTTCCTACAATCTGGACTCTACTTTCTCCTCCCCCTTCCACAAGCCCCAAGCCTCAAGTTCTGGTAACATGGATGGGAATTATTTCCAGGTTGCAGTCCATGTGCTGGGAAAGGAGGCAGTGCTCTTGGGAGAAACAGCAGAGACCTCAGGCTTCAAACTGAAGCCAGCAGAGTCCCAGCCAGTGGGCAGGTCCCAGGATGAAGAATTTTGGAATGAACAACAGCTGAGCAGGAATACTCATAAAGAAACAGAGCCTATGTGTGAGAGGGGTAAGGAGCTTCATGATAATTTCTTTGCTGGGAGCTGTGATAGTAATTTGTCCAGCCAGAACATTGTGAACACTTTTTGGGTTCCCAGCTTTGTGGCTGTGCAGATGTAGTCGTGTTAGCAATTATGATTACCCCTGCCCCCTCCCCTCACAGATGGCCTTAGAATAGACCATCTGTTGTGAAGGTGGGGATTGGCCTAAGGTACAGAAATATCCAAACCAGAGGACCCTGGTAATAATACCATGAACACTGTTCCTTAGAAAAGTGGAGGATTGGGCCACCCCATCCTCAAATCACAGAAGGAATTGGGATCACAAATGGTCTGTCAGTGGCAGTATGTGAACTATAATTGTGTACCATGAAAATAAATAAATGATAAATAATACATCTCCTACTGTACACTGGAGTCCATGAGTATTTCATTTTCAAATCTGTTAAAATTTTCTTAACTCCTTAACTTGGAACTATTTATGTCATGAGAGAAAGTTAATGTTTTTGTTTTATTAATTTCACTCGTGAAAACTGGGCAACTTGTTCTGGGGGTTGATAGATACTTAGTTCTTACAATGATAAGGCCACTTCACTCTTATAAAGGTTTCCCAACTACTGAAAGAATCAAGATTTTATTTTAGAAACGAGTGCAACATTTACATAGAAGTGAGAGAAATTTCTGATGACTCTTTTCCACCCATAGCTGTGCCTACTCACCAGATCCTAGACTTTCCTGAGCAGACAGACACCAAAGACTGGACAGTGGCACCTGAGCTCATCTTACCTGAGTCCCAGGTGAGCTGTGCTTTTGAGCTCTTCAGGACTGCCTTTCCCTGCTGCTCATGACCCACACTGCCCCGCAGTGCTCAGAGGCATTTAGCCCAGATGTTCTCCCTGGGTAATGGGACACTTCCCAGACTGTTTGCTGATCCCTTGCCTCCTTCCTTTCTGCCTTCTCACTTAAAAAAAAATCTTTTTTTAAATCATGTATTGTTTATTCCTTCAGTGCCTGGCCTACCATGTAGTTTGTGGACTGGATGAATGTTAGGGCTACTTCTGAGTGACCAGTACTGAGCTGAAGCCCATTCTCTTCTTTAGAGCTTATTGACATTTGAAGAAGTGGCCGTGTATTTTTCCCAGGAAGAATGGGGATTACTGGATATCAGTCAGAAGACTCTCTACAATGATGTAATGCAGGAAAACTATGAGACTGTCATCTCTCTAGGTAAAGATTCTTTCTGCCCTTTGTGTAGAAGTTGAGTAATCTAATGTTCTTAGCTTACTGGGAATGCACCCTGGTTCCAGTTGCTAGTTGGTTGTCAACTTGATGGTCAGGGAAAAGTGTATCCAGATCATGTCAAGCTTTTTACAAAGTTCATATACTCATTCCTTATCCTAAAATTCTCCACTCTCCCCTACTCTTCACTCTTGCTTACAAATCTGCTCTTTTATCTTTCCATTTCCATAAATGCCACCACCATTTACCCAATATTTCGGGCCAGAATACCTGGGTCATCCTTTAGTCCAAGCATGTCAAACTCGCAGCCAATAGGTTGCATGCTTCATTTATAGCATGCGACCCACCAGCCGCAAGTTTGACATGCTTGCTTTAATCTGAACTTGCCATTCATATTCCACTATTCATGCATCACTAGTCCTCTTTGCGTCATAGCCTGAGTCCATCCATGTCTCATTCTCTTGCCCTGTTAGCATTTTGGTCTAAGCTAGTGGCTTCTCTAATCAGTTTTGTAACTGATGCCCTGACACCACTCTTACCTTTCCATGGTCTGTTTTTCACAAAGCAGTCAGAGTATAAAAAACCTGATGAGATTTGACAGTTCTCTGCTTCAAAACCTTACAATAACTTTTCACATTCAGAATAATATCTAAACTCCTTATGAGGTATGTAAACTTCTCCAAGATCTAACTCCTACTCACCTACCTGCCACTTGTACCCTGGCTCCATCCACTTAAGCCACACCGGTCTTGCTTGTTTCCTAAACTTGATATGCTCATTTTTACCTTCCTACTTCCTTTACCTGACACATTGGACTCTCCTATTTTTTCAGAAACCTAATTTTTGCCCAATTCAGAATAATTTAGGTAATATGAGGAAAAAATGAGACTTCTTTTTATTGACCAGTCATGAAAACTGAGGACAGTCAATTTGGGAACTGGTTATAGGGCTGATAGCCACTTTTAAATACCACATAACACTTGTAAAGGAGTCCCATCTCTACTGAAAGAATCAGATCTTGTATATTTTAGAAATGTGCCCAGAATATTCATAGAAGCAAGAGAAATTTCCTATGGCTCTTTTCCATCTACAGCTGTGCCTACTCACCAGATCCTAGACTTTCCTGAGCAGACAAACACCAAAGACTGGACAGTGGCACCTGAGCTCATCTTACCTGAGTCCCAGGTGAGCTGTGCTTTTGAGCTCTTCAGGACTGCCTTTCCCTGCTGCCCATGACCCACACTGCCCCGTAGTGCTCAGAGGCATTTTGCCCAGATGTTCTCCCTAGGGAACTAGATACTTCCCAGACTGTTTTGCTGATCCCTTGCCTCCTTCCTTTCTGCCTTCTCACTTTAAAAAAATTAATTCCTTCAGTGCTTTGCCTACTATTAATTTCATGGGCCAGATGTTAGAGTTACTTCTGGAGTGGCAGGTACTGAGCTGAAGCCTATTCTCTTCTTTAGAGCTTATTGACATTTGAAGAGGTGGCCGTGTTTTTTTCCCAAGAAGAATGGGAATTACTGGATCCGGGTCAGAAGGCCCTATACAATGATGTAATGCAGGAAAACTTTGAGACTATCATCTCTCTAGGTAAATATTCTCCCTTCCCTTTGTATAGAAGCTGAGTAATCTGTCATGTTCTCATCTTATTGTGAATACTCCCCTGAGGGACAGTCTGTTCCAGTAGTTAGTTGGTTCTTAACTTGATGTTGTTTACAGAGAAAAGGTGTGTCTAATTCACCTGGGAGCTTTTTCTAAGTGCACATTCCTTATCCTACATAGAATTCTGGGTCTCTTTCCCTTAAACCTGCTCTTCTCATAATTTTTTCATCTCAGTAAAGATCAGCTTTGCTCACTCAGTAACTCAGAGCAAGACACATAGTCATTCTTCCCCATTAGCTTGTCGTCATACTCCACTACTAATACATAACAATTCTCTTGGTTCCCTCTTCACAGTATATCCTAAGTCCAACTGTGTCTCATCCTCTTGCCTTATTAGCATCCTGGTCTAAATCAGTATCATCTCAAACCAAGCCCATCTTAGGAGCTTTTTAACTGGCTGATGCTGCCAACACTCTTGCCCTGCAGTAGTCTACTTTCTATGCAGCAGCCAGAATCTTTAAAATCTGATCAGACTATGATATTTTCCTGTTTCAAAATCTTATGATGACTTCTCACCATATTCAGAATAAAATTAAAACTTTTCTTTATCAAAAGTTCTCAGGACCCTTCAAAATATGGTGTCTCTTCTTTTCTGCCTCATCTTCTTCAACTTGTGCCCCTTGTTCAGTTCTCTTTAGCCACACTGGTTTTCTTGTCAGTTGTTTGGTTTGTTGTTGTTTTTTTAATGTATTGATTTTAGAAAGAGAGAAGAGGGGAGAAAGGGAGAGACCAGTTTGTTGTTCCACTTGTTTATGCATTCATTGGTTGATTCTTATATGTTCCCTGATTGGGGATCAAACCTGCAACCTTGGCATTTTGGGATGATGTTCTCACAACTGGGCTACCTGGCCAGGGCTTGTTGCTGTTTTCTTAAATAACCATGCTCATTTCTACTTTCCCCTTTCCTCTACTTGACATACTTTTCTGCTATATGACAAAACTTGCACATTTTGTTCTGCTCAAATATCACTTTCTCCTAGTCCCACATAAAAGTCTTCCACATAGCCATATCTCAAATAGCTTCACAGAAAGAGAATAATTTTTTCTTTTCTTTTTTCTTTTTTCTTTTTTGTTTTGTTAAACCTTACCCGAGGATATTTTTCCATTGATTTTTTAGGGAGCGTGGAAGAGAGAGGGAAAGAAAGAAACATGGATGTGAGAGAAATATATCAATTGGTTGCCTCTGAACAGGGCCAGGGCCCGAGGAGATGCCAACCAAGGTACGTGTTCTTGCCAAAACCGGTTTGGCTCAGTAGTAGAGCATCGTCTGAAGACTGAAAGGTCCCAGGTTCTATTCCGGTCAAGGGCACGTACATTGGTTGCGGGCACATCCCCGGTAGGGGGTGGCAAGAGGCAGCTGGTAGATGTTTCTCTCTGACGTTTCTAGCTCTCTATCCCTCTCTCCTCCTCTCTGTAAAAAATCAATAAACTATATTAAAAAAAACACAAAGGTACATGTCCTTGACTGGGATCGAACCTGGGATCCTTTGGTCTGCAGGCCAATGCTCTATCCACTGAGCAAAACCGGCTAGGGTAGAAATAGAATCTTAGATGCTCTCTTATCCTGCTTCAGTTTTTTTTTGTGTGTTTTTTTTTAATTATCATTTCTTGCCCTGGCTGGTGTTTCTAAGTGGTTAGAGCACATGTGTCAAACACAAGGCCCGCGGGCCAAATCCGTCCCGTCCCGCCAGGCCTTGCAATGTGGCCCACACCGCGCTGTCATCACTGCACTCCGCTGCGTTTCCATCACAATGACAGTTTATGACTGTTCAGTAAACCATTCGGCCCGCGATTTAGGCTGGATTTTAGATTTTGGCCCCTTCTCTGATTGAGTTCGACACCCCTAGGTTAGAGCGTCGCCTCATACACTGAAAGGTCATGGGTTGTTCCTGGCCCAGTCAGGGTTCATGTGGGAGTCAATGTATCTCTCTCATATCCATGTTTCTCTCTCTGTCACTCTCTCTTCTTTTCCCTTCCACTATCTAAAAGTGACATGAAAATATTCTTGGGTAAGGATTTAAAAAACACAGAAACATTAGTTACTACTTGATATTTCCTTTTGTCCGTTTTTTTGATGTTTGATTAACTCAGTTTCCCACTAGAAGATAAGTTCTATGAGATCAGGGGATTTTGGCTTATTCACCACTATATTCCTATTTCATAAAGTGTTTGGCATGCTATAGCCAGTTAATACATATTTGTTGAAATATTGAATGATGAATACTTCCCATCTTTGGAAATTTTTATGTAGAAAAAGTCCACTAAATGATGTTGATCTGTTTCATCCAACTGGATACGAACCAGTGAGCTGCAGGAGTGGTAGAAACCTTTCCTATCCAATAGTTTAGTTTCTGGTAATCAAGAGCGAAATAAAAGGCTACTATAATTATGGTAGGAATCACTTGTGTATATGATTCCTAACCCACTGACCTTCACATTAGCTCTACTAGGCCTGGTGTTATTCAGGTGACTCTTAAAGAATTAATATGACTCTGACATCTCTGGAGTTTTAGTCCAACTTGGTCAAGTGTGCAGTTATTGGTGGCAGAAGAGGGGAACATGCACAGAATTCCCATGACTATGTTCTTTCTATTGACCAAGCTAATCTCCACTTTGCATATCAACCTACAAATGCAGTGTAGTATAAAATTAATAGCTGAGCCAAAACCGGTTTGGCTCAGTGGATAGAGCGTCAGCCTGTGGACTGAAAGGTCCCAGGTTTGATCCCAGTCAAGGGCATCTACCTTGGTTGCGGGCACATCCCCAATAGGGAGTGTGCAAGAGGCAGCTGATCGATGATTCTCTCTTATCAATGTTTCTAACTCTCTATCCCTCTCTCTTTCTCTCTGTAAAAAAAATCAATAAAATATATTAAAAAACTAAAATAAAACTAATAGCTGATATGAGAGTCTAACCATTTAACTATTTGGGGATAACAAATTGTTATGTGTTCTTTACTCTTACTGAAATAATCTTGTATTAGTTAACCATTGTTAAGTTAGTGGTCCTTGACCTTAGTTTTTTTCATTTCACAGCCATTTTTGTGCTCCCCAAACCTAAAGTCATCTCCTGTCTAGAACAAGGGAAAGAGCCATGGGTTCAAGGATCCACAGAGATCATGAACAGTCCTGGAGAGCTGCCTATAGGTAAATACACTATGGGAAGAAGAGAAATGTGCCTTAATAAGAATCTTTGCAAGGAATTAACATTTTGAGATTCTTCTTATTACTACAAATCAATGATCTTTGATTTTAATCCCCCTCTCTATTCTTGTGGTTTTCTTGCTCTGCCATTCAGCAGGTTGATTGTCATATTAATTCCAACAGGGTTAAAGCTCAAAAATGACACTGAAAATCATCAGCCTATATGTCCTTCTGACTTGGAAATACAAGCTCCTGGAGATATAATATCAAAAAAGGCCAGAGTGAAAGTTTCCCAGAAAACAGCAGTCAAAGAAAATCATGGTGATATACACAGGGTAAATATACACAGGCACCAAGACTTTACAGTGAAGAAAAGAAAGAAACTTTCAACCTGGAAACAAGAGCTGCTGAAACTTATGGATCGTCACAAGAAAGAACGTGCAGGAGAGAAGCCTTTTAAATGCCAGGAATGTGGGAAAAACTTCAGAGTTAGCTCTGACCTTATTAAGCACCAAAGAGTTCACACTGAAGAGAAACCGTATAAATGCCCACAGTGTGATAAGAGGTTTAAATGGAGTTCAGATCTTAATAAGCACTTAACAACACACCAAGGGATAAAACCATATAAATGCTCATGGTGTGGGAAAAGCTTCAGTCAAAATACAAATCTACACACACACCAAAGAATTCACACTGGAGAGAAGCCCTTTACATGTCATGAATGTGGGAAAAAATTCAGTCAGAATTCCCACCTTATTAAACATCGGAGAACCCACACAGGTGAGCAACCTTATTCCTGTAACGTATGCAGAAGAAACTTTAGCAGGCGGTCAAGCCTTCTTAGGCACCAGAAACTCCATCAGTGAAGGGGAGCTCGTCCACTGTCCTCAGTCTGAACAAATTCACCAAGAGGAGCTCGACACTAAATATGAAAAAAATAGAAAATTATGAAGCATGATTTTTTATCAGTGGAATATTGCGCAGAAAGGAATTACGTCTGACACTGCATGGGATGAATTAAGGTAGTACTGCTTCCTGTGTTTACTTATAACCTATAGGGAATTCCATAGCAAGATTGGTGTTCTAGGTATATTCTAAAAATGGAAAAAACTTTTAGGATTGTACCTGCCAAAATATCAAATTCAGCTTCAGATGGCAGATGAAGCCATAAAATCAGTCTTACGTGGTTATAGAGGTAAATAGTGTTGGTTTTTCATTGATCTGCCCAGCCACTCCTAAACACATGTGATAGAAACATTTGTAGCATGGTCTTCCAAAACAAAAAGCAATAATATGCTCATTTAATTGCATACCATTGTCTTCATGGTAGCAAACTTAAAAATTTCATTAGTCTCATGGGATAGAAATGAATTCTAATGTAAAGTTTCCTAAGAATCTAATTGGATTTTCTTCCTCTATCATCGTTGAACTTTTTGTGAGTTTTCTCTTGAACTTTTTAGGAACTTTAGCTCTTGAATCATATTAGCACAAATTTTACTTTGGTGAAGTCATAATTTACTTCACCACGAGGGAATCTGCCAGATAACTAATAATGCACTATCTTATGCAGGGGTCCTCAAACTTTTTAAAGTGGGGGCCAGATCACGGTCCCTCAGAGAGCTGGAGGGCCGGACTATATGAACTACTAATTCCTACTGTAACACCTCGGCTGTGCTCACTGCCCAAAAAACCTGGCGGGCCGGATCAGACTCCTCTGCGGGCCGCATGTGGCCCGCGGGCCGTAGTTTGAAGACGCCTGATCTTATGCATCTCATTGGTGATACTTGAAAAAAGAAATAATGTCCAATGAGATTATATATATAAACCGGTGGCCCTGTGCATGAAATTCACGCGCATTAAGGGGTTAATTAGCTCTTCCACAGCAGGCCTGCACGCCGCTGCCGCCATGTCTCTAGTGATTCCTGAGAAGTTCCAGCACATTTTGCGAGTACTCAACACCAATATCGATGGGCGGCGGAAAATAGCGTTTGCCATCACTGCAATGAAGGGTGTAGGGCGAAGGTATGCTCACTTGGTGCTGAGGAAAGCAGACATCGACCTCACCAGGAGGGCAGGAGAGCTCACGGAGGATGAGGTGGAGCGTGTCATCACCATTATGCAGGACCCACGCCAGCACAAGCCTCCAGACTGGTTCTTGAACAGGCAGAGGATGTGAAAGACGGGAAATACAGGCAGGTCCTGGCCAATGGTCTGGACAACAAGCTTCGTGAGGCCCTGGAGCGGCTGAAGAAAATTGGGGCCCACAGAGGGCTGAACACTTCTGGGGTCTTCGTGTTCGAGGCCAGCACACCAAGACCACAGGCCGCTGGCGTCTCACTGTGGGTGTGTCCAAGAAGAAATAAGCCTGTAGGCCTCATCTGTTAATAAATAGTTTATACACCTATAAAAAAAAGGGAGGGGAATTAGAGAAAATATTTTAATATTGCTGCTTGCCCTTTTTCTGTAATAGAAGTGTCAGAGATGAAAGAAAATTAGTAAATTGTATATGAAAATCTTCCTCCTGTCAGAGTCTGGGGCATACCACAGGACCCAGAGACAAGTCCCCGCCCACCCATGTGCACCTCAAAATTTTTCTATACCCAAACCTGGCTGCCCCCTCCCCATTGGGCTATTTCCAGACCCGACCTGTCCCACCCTTGTCAAGCCTGAGGCCGGGGGGGCACAGCCTCAGGTCCCCTGGCTCAGTGTCTGGGTGAGGGGTGCGGCCTCAGGTCCCCCAGCCCAGCACTGAGGCGGGTGAGAGGGAAGGGGTGTACCTTGAGGTCCCTATCAAACCCCGCCAGGTGGGGAGCACAACCTCAGGTCCCCACTGGCCCAGCGCCAGGGTGGCATAGGGGGTGGCCTCAGACCCCCTGGCCTGGTGCCAGGGCACGGGGCATGGCCTGAAGTTCCCTGTCAAGTCCTGCCAGGAAGGAGGCGCATCCTGAGGTACCCTGTCAAGCCCCACAGGGGTGGGAGGGGCGCAGCCTTGGGTCCCACTAATGGCTCGTTAAGGCTCATTCTGGGAACTCAGCCTCCGCTGTGGATGTAGCCACCTTGTGTTACAGAAACCCCATCTCTGTGGGTGTTGCCATCTTTGTGGCAGAGTGATGGTTAATTTGTATATTCCCTTTTTATTATATAGGATGGGTAGGAATTTCTAGCCATGGAATAAAATATTAGATGTAAAGAAAAATTTTCTGCAATAAAAGAAACTAGATTGTTTCCTCATAATGTCAACAGGATAATATAGCCATAAAAATTAGCACTTTCCTGAGGCCTAAAACAAATGGGAGTCCTGGGTTTACTTCTCAGGATTTTGTTTGTTTTCTTTTTCATTTGGCTTTTGTTACTAAGAATCAGGAGAGATTTTGTGTTTCTGGGAACTGGAACATGTGCTGCAGGCAGGATCCTGTGATTTACTGTACATGGTGACCAAGGAATCCATTCAGCAGGGTACCAGGTTTCCAAAAGGATAATTTTGGGAACTGATACAGAGTGGTTGGCAAAAGTGAGCTAATCCACATCCATATTGGTTGTCTTACACTGTAAACTGTTAGGCAGGGTCTCCCTGTATCTGTTTTCTTCAGCATTTAACATTAGTCTTGGTTGATGCTTAATAGACTGCTGAAAACGTATAGGCAGTAGATACTGTAACTCTCACTTTATTTTTACCTTTGATTCAGATGTGTTCTTGTTAGAGCTTTTAAATATTGTAGTATCAGGAAAGGGGTTAAATTATCTCTTTCAAATCTGTTAGTTTATAAACGAGGAAGTTAAGGCACAAAGGGACTTGTTCAAGACCCCATAGCTAGCGGGTCTTTGGGCTTTCACTTGGCTTCCTCAGTCAGGCCTGAAGGCAGGATTATCAGGACTTGGTATGTTACCCCTGTGGAGTCAGCCTAGGTAATATTGTATTATATCTATTTTCAGCTTTGAAACATTTTTGTTTCTTGATTGGTTATTGAAACACTCTTAAGTCTCCATTTTCTCTCTTCTTTTAAAAATTTTTTTAATGTTGACATAATTGCAGGTGTCCTCTTTTCCCCCACCATTTGCCCACCTCCACTCACCCCTCCCTCCCCCATCTCTCGGCCTTCACCAAACTTTGTCCACATCATGGAATATGTTTATATGTTCTTTAGCTAATCCTTTCACCTTTATCCTGTCGCTCCATCCCCTCCTCTCGGGCACCTGCCAGTCTCCATTTTCTCTATGTATAGAGAAACACCTCAGGGTTGATCTGGGGATCAGGGATTGATGAAAGAAAAGCACCTACCAGTGTGGCCAACAGTAGATGCTTACTGTGCATTTCTTTCCCTTCCTTCTGCTTCCCAGATGTGTTGGGTGGACTGATTACATTTAAGGAGTAGATGCATTTGTGGCTCTTGCAGCTTCTTTCAGGAGTTGAGCACTGGTTGTGGTAGTTATGCTGAATTAATTTGGTTTGTGGCTTTGGTGTTTTTTTGAATATATCACCTCAGCTTTTGTCTGGCTTCTTCAGTGGGAATTATTTCTTCCAAAAGTTGAAGTACACCAAGTATTTTTTTAATCACTTTTTTAAAATATGATTTTTAATTGATTTCAGAGAGGGAGAGGGAGAGAGCTAGAAACATCAATGATGAAAACCATCAGTTGGCTGCCTCCTACATGCCCCCTACTGGGGATTGAGGCTACAACCCAGGCATGCGCCCTGACCAGGAATCGAACCATAACCTCCTGGTTCATAGGTCCACACTTATCCACCGAGTTAGATTGGCCAGGCCACCAAGAATTATTTCTTAAGCATGGCCAGCTCTGAAGCTTTAGTTGAGTAGTTTTTACCCAACACCCTCAGCTTTAGACCCCTGGGACTCATCTCTTCTCCAAAGATACATGTGAGTTTCTTGTTGGTAGTACATTTACTTAATTTAATGATGGCCTGTTATGCACCTAGACACTGTTCTAGACCGAGCATATAATAGTGAACAAGAGGGGGGAGAAAAAAGCATACCCACATGGAGCTTGTATTCTAGTGAACAATAAAAACGGAGGAAGGCTATGCTTTTCTCCTTGTAGTTAGACAAGGTCATCGGGTCATTTTTGTTCAATGGGTTGCTAGTAGAAGTCTCACTTCTGGGCTGAAGCATTTATTTGTTGGTACAAGACTCTAGTGCTCTCCTTTCTTACCTCAATCATGTAAGCACATATAGAGAGAGCTGCCATGAGATCAAACCAGTCTAGAATGCTGAGTCCCTTACATGGTGGATCATCTCTTCTGTGAGTCCCCCAGGCCTATAATGGGCTTTGTGAGAACAAGAAATAAACATTTGTGTTTAACTATTGAGATGTGTGCTGTGTGTTTCTGCAGTATTACCTGGCCTGTTTTAATAGAGGTGGCTCTTATATTAGAGCTTTGAAATTTTTGGTTTTCCATTCCACTTGGCCTTTGGCCCTCAGGAAAGATCTAGCTTCCTCTAGGTGGATGCTCCACTAAACTGATATAACACTGATGGGAACACTTAGGAACTTACAAGACTATAGGTAAAAATAAAAATATAAATAAAACAACAACAAAAAGGACTAAATAAGATATTGAAAAAAGACTGTTTATCAGGGCGCATATCCTAGGAGGTCAGTTTAAGTGGACAAGGCAGTCTTCTCCCTCTGGCCTCATTCCTCTTTCCTTGTTCTTTGTTCCTTTGTACACCACTGCCCCATGTGCGCAAGATGTGCTTCTAATGATCGACGAGGTGGGAGAAGATAGGGGTTGCCTTTAATTCCTCGTATGAGTACAGATTTCAAGGAGTGGTATGGTAAGTACCCTTGTGGAACTGTCTGTGAGTTGTTCCAAAAAAAAGGCATATGGCAAATTCTACACCCCTATTGGTGTATAAAGGAGGTGGTTGCTCTTTCTGGGCTAAGGGGTGACAGTTGGGAAGAAGCTTGAGTAGGAAAGCAGGAGTAGGACACCAGTTGGGGAGTGAGAAGTCTCTGCTGGAAATGTCCTAGCTTAGCCAATAGCAACACAATGTCTCAAAACTCCTTATGCTTGGAATTTGGAGTGGACAAATTCCAAGCATAAGGAGTGGAAATTGTTAAAGGAACTTCTGTAGCCTTGTCACTGGGATAAGAGCAGATAACTAAAAAAAATAATAATAAAAAAAATCTTAAATACTGAATCTACTGCTCTGGCTAGCCACTCTGCTGACGAGTGAGTTTGCTGACACTGGGTTAGAACATTGTCTTGATATGCCAGAGTTACGGGTTTGGTCCTCAGGGCACATACAGAAACAACTAATGGATGTATGAATAAGTAGAACAATTCTCAATTCTCTCTCCTCCCTCTAAAATCAATAAATAAAATATCGAGGCTTATTTTAAAAATGAAATCTGAATCATGACCCTATATTCAGTTTCCAATATTAGTATTAAAATTCTC